ATAAGTCATTCTCTCAAATTGAAAACTAGGCCCTTAAATATAGAAAACAAAAAAGCTCCATACAAACACAAAGGAATACTCAGGCACATTTGTGATGGAGGAAACTTAAATGAGATGCAAAGCATAATAAAGGGAAATGACTGAAATATGTATGTCAAGTATTTCTGCAGTGCTTATTCCATTCTCCCATCAATCCAGACTATTTTTCCAAAACACAGGGAAAGAAAATCCCACTGACCAGAAGTGGGAAAGAGAAGAATAAATTGTATCTGTCAGTGAGACAAGGAGGCAGCTTTTAACCCGGCCTATGCACGCACGCACGCGCACACGCACACACACACACACTGAATTGGTCAGTCAATTTTACCAAGGGTAGGTTTAGAATTAATGTCAGTAAGGAAAAGAGTTTCAAAGTCACATGTCCTATCAGTACCAATACCACAATACACACATGCTCTATACACAAATACAACCCTTGAACAACCATCAGAAATGCCCTCAAACATGACACATCATCAACCTCTATCTATCATCAATTGCTTATTTTCGTGGCAAAATAATGGAGAATCATTCATTTCCATGCTCAGCTGTCGTCATATGTCACACACTGTTTTTCTCTCTCACACGCACTGACAAGCAATCCATTTAGTGGCTGTTGCAGGTGGGAGAAGGCACATACTGAAAAACATATCCTGAGAATTCTCGGTGGCAGTGGAATCCACACATTGGCGATCACAATCTGACTTGTCGAGCACGTGGCAAAAAAGGAATATGGAAGAAGTAAAATGTAATAAGTAAGCAGCAGAAAAACGCTTTCGATGTCGTTGAGACGAGGGTTACAAGAGACGTACATTTCCTGTCTGCGATGGGGCGCTCCTCTTCTTTTGCCGTCTGGCTTTCGAACTACTTCCTGGTAAAACTCTTTCACCCAGACTTCCCTCTCTAACCTTTGTCCTCAGCATTTCTTTCTATCAGAAATCTCTCTTTCCAGCGCACACTGCCCTTCGTCGTGTCAAATTAAAGTGATGGAAATGAACTTGAGGGGACGCTAATTGCAATTGTCAATCCAATCTAGGTCGGGGCTGAAAGACAGGGGCTCCTTGCACTTCATCAGTCTTCATTAATATTGAAGGAGTTTGCCGAGGAGCAAGGGGCCAACGTAATCTGCACTCATCTAACAGAGCATCAACAATTAGGAAGCTGGGGAGGGCACCAGTGGTGCCTGAGGGACAAATATGCCAGTCAAGAAGAAGTATGAAGAAAGATCTCAGTAGACGAGGATGGAGTGCACGAATAGATGCTGCCTTCAAATGCCGTGGGAAATAGTTTGAGAAGCGAGGGGAGGGAATTTCATAGTTTCAGCATGTGCCCTACACACACATCAAACCCATCAAACCCATCAAACGGTAATTGCAATTTTATGACTAAAATAAACTCACATCAATACGATTGTATGGCTTTTATCAAAAGTGTGTAGAAACATCCTGCTATGGTATGTAATTAATTTACACTTCATCCAGTACACCATCAACAAATGACCGGATCCTGAACCCAACAATATGAAAAACAGATGCATTATATAAGTTTATATTCTTTCGTATTTTGTACGTTTACTCCAGTTACGTTTAATGTGTCCAACATTTGACAATCACCCTCCTCCATGATACTAATATGTATTCTTCTGGAATGTATAAACTGTAACAGAATTGTGAAAGGCACCTGAAGGCTGCATAATGCCTCAGTGGTGATTGTTTTATGAACCACACACACACACACACACACACACACACACACACACTATAGATGGTCAATCATCATCCTTTGCTAGAGCTATAAACTATGACCCTTTGCATAACCTCCAGCTGGCAAATGCTGTTACATAATGTTTGTGATGGCGCTAGCGAGTATTCAAATTCAAAGCAAATGATAAATAAAACAAGTGACTAATGTGTTGCAGGGAATGACGCTGTAAATGGAAAGTAATGAAGGTGGTTTTGAAAGATATTATTATCTTATTATGTGCATCGGTAACATAATATCTTAATATGCAATGTATTTTTTACCTCTATCCCTTTATTTTAACGATGGCACAAGGCCTTTTGGAAATACGGCATTTCCATTTGTAAATCAAAATTCCATAATTTATTAGCAGCTACAGGGATAGAGGACTGAAGTCAGCGCTGCTAAGTTATCTGATCAAGGCACTAATATCGCGGTGGAATTACATGTTTACTAATGGTCGCAATGCAAGCCAAACAATCCAAGGCGAGGAGAGGGATACATGGATATTTGATGTACACACATCAGTTTATCAGCACACGCAAGGAAATGACATGAGGGAAAAAAAGAGACTCCAAACTCTGTATCCCGTTCACAAAATGAAAACATTACAGTAGCATGTTGATCAGGGCCCAACTTGTAATTAACCTGCATACATTTTGATATAGAAGGATTAAAACAAAAATTAGAAGATGGATTTTGAAGTTGCGAACATTGATAGTGAAAACACTGCGGGTGGTTAAAACTCACGGTTGTGCTGTTGGTTGGAATGTGCATGTGTGAGGAGGGGGGTCAAGCCTCCGTGCTGAAATGCATTGCGTTATTAATCACAATGTGAGCGTTGATTCATCTGTCGTGGAGGCAGTTTGGAAGATGGACTCTATTTACTGCTAAAGCTGTTTGAGGGGCTTTGGGGAGGCAGCCATCAATCTCTCGGCTATCTAGAAAAGAAAGAGCCAATGCATCGGCATCAGCTTCAATCACCTCCCAGAGACAGGTGGTATGGCACACTGCAGCACAATACTTTCTTCTTCACTCCTTCACTTCTTCTCCAGCTCAAGGTGAAGTTTTTTCCCTCCCTAAGGAATCATGTTATTAATGTGTTTTATCATAATAATAATATTCCCTAAAAATACACGCTGCACCCTGCCCTCTTGCTCCCTTGCTGTTCGGCACCCTGTGTTCCTAATTAGCATCTTCAATTAACCCATGTTAATTGGCAACCACGGAAAGGTGGAGTAACCTGGCAAGCTGGCGCCACAGGGAGTCGTTTTGTAAATGAGTGGTGGTGTAATATAGGAGCAGGCGGGTAAAGAGGGATTGTAGCCGAAAGCACCTTTAACCTGAAGCCGGCTTGTCTTTATGTAAGATCAGCTTGCACGGATAAGACTAAAAGTGGGAGTAAGAATGCTGTTTTAAGAACAAATTGTTTCTATGTAGTTAAATAGTCATACACAAAATTCTGCCCCCCCGCCATCTTTTTTTCATCTGAGTCAGTGGGTCTTAATACCTCTGCAGGGGTCTAGCGGTAGCAGTTACCATTCATTACGGCCTCTTTCACAATTTCATCTTGGCTTTGTTTTGCATCGCAGGGGTGGGGTTGTCAGTATTGCTCTGCACACATTGCAGAACATTTAATGACTCCGTCTTGATTTGCTACTTGATCAATCTTTATTTATTTTTTTGTCCGTACAAAAACACAAGAGAACACAAGCTACCTTACTAATTACGTTTACCTGATGTACACAAACCACTGTGCCTTATTAACCTAAAATGATAGCTGTAAGGCGCCAAATATGAAAAAATAAAACAGAGCATGTCCTATTGGGGTCTCTGTAGGTTCACTCAGACACCAATACCGGCCAATGAATGCAGTCAGCACTTTACAGTAACACCAAGGGGGCCCCCTCAGCCTCCCAGGGAGGGTGGAGTCAAATGGAGCTGGATGGCGTTAGCGGAACACACTGCAGTCAGAATGGTCTAGAGTGCTGTTCCTGAGAAGCTGAAGGCCAACAAAAGGTCAACAATAGCAGCTGACTTTACCAAAAAAAAAATCAGGCAGTTTTTTTTATTTCTCTCTGCTGCAGATTTCACAAGAGCAACTCGGTCTGACCTCTCATTACCAATGTATTACTTCCCTGGCTCCTGAGCCTGTCATCCCCTTCTCAGCCTTTCGGGGTTTGAATCCATGTGTCCATCAAAACCAAAAATTAAAGTGAGCATTTATTTTGTTCAATGCATCTCAGTCTCTTCTCATTCATTCACTACATCTCACCTACATATTGCTCACATGGAGGTAACCATGTGTAACGCCTGTACTTCTTTTTGACACGGTTGGTTGGTTCAGATTCGAAAAAATGAAATGATCTTAAATATGTCAACATTTTCTGAAAGGTGGGAATTCATGTTCAGTGCAACAACTATTTCTTCTCCCTCTGTGAAACCCATTTAATCAAAAAAGGAGATGAGCGATCAAGTTATCTGGATTTTGATTATCATACGCTTCAGTGGAATGAAAGTACAATCAGTTAGACACTTTGAGGAGTGAGGAAGTCTGATTATCCCCCATTGAACCAAAATTCCTCGCTTCTTGTTATCATTAGCAATGGAGACACTAATCTGAGTGCTGATTGGTTGAAAAGTATCCAGGCACAGGGCACTCAGTCTGCAGCAAGGTCACATGAAAAGAAGCGTGTGAAAAGTTAAAATTCTAAACTTTTTACTGAGATTGAGGTAATTACTTGCGTGAATGATGGAAGAAGCAGGTGTTTGGATTCATCTCATGGATTCTAAGTGTGTTTATTCGTGCATAGTATTTGTAGCCTGGCAGGCAGCTGGTTGTGTCCATCAGGCTATCCAATAGCTGCCACTTTGTGTTAACACCGAGGCTACCACTGATAACGCTGACCGACCCATGGAATCATTGCAAGAGCTTAGAACCCACCCCGGGGTAAACGTTATTAGCTTCTGTTAGCAATGTTAAATCACACCAGGCCAGGAGGGGGAACTTTGCATCTGTGTGTGCAAGCTGAGAACGTCAATGGCCGTATCACCGTCCAATCATCAGCCTGACGGTTACATCTGGGTCATGATATGATGCATGTCAACTTTTTCAAATGAATCAAAGATATTGAATAATCGGTGGTAAATTGCAGGTCAACACTGTTGCGAATGTATCTACAAGTTCAAATTAACTACTATGTTGCTTGTTTTGTCCTTACTCTGAGGAAGGTGAGGTCCCGGCTGCGGTCGATGCTTGTGATCTCAAGGTTGCCCATTACCACTTCGCAGTTCTCGTAGTATTTCCTCAAGGTGCGGTACTGCTGTTCAAGGTCCGATAGGGTGCTCAGCTTGTTTTCGGTACCAGCACAAACTAGGGAAATAAGGGCAGAAAGTAATAAGACAGCGTTAATACAACAGGGTTCAATTGAAAACACACATACACACACACACACACACACACACACACACACACACACACAAAAAAAGGGTCTGACTTTATTATCCCCAGATTTTGCTTTCACAAAAGGTTGAACCTACAAACAGCAACACTACTCACATCTATGTGATTATCTTAGAAGATGAATGTCGTCTTTACAGACCAACAACAACAGCAGCAGAAGGGTTTTAATATACAAAAAAAGTCGATGTAGTGCAAACGTGACACCGTTGACAGTGAGCTTTAGACCTGCTCATCTGGCCGGGATAAGTACGGGCAGGCCTCGCTGCACCCTCAACGCACACCATATCACACATCGGGGCTCTCACAGCACATGGGAGCTCTTTTGCAGCTGGCTGTAGTGCTCATTTTATAAATAATAAAACAAAGACGTGAACGAAAAGCACATTATTGCATTAGTCTATGTGAAATAGGCGGCTTTGTGTAAACATCAAAACAGAAACCCCACCAACAACCTCCTGCAAATGTTTTGATTGAATCCTTCATTTAAAGTTTCCGTCTAGACTCAAAATACTAGCATTCAGCGCCCCTGCTGAATTACTGCCAACTTTAAGATATAGACACTGACATTTGTTCTTTCGAAGCATGATAATCTTTTTAATTTGCATTGCCATGGCGGTGTGGTTTCTCCCACCTGCACCGTCCAGGTGACGGAGGAGCCAACCGTGTGACAGAAGGGTGGCAGGTCCTTCCCACAGTCTTGTCACACCGTCACCCATGAGCGGCTATCTCTCCATTTCTCCTTGTACAGCCGATAACATACGATACACTTCCCTTTTATAAACCCTCTATATTAAACCTGGATCTTGGCACTAAACTGAGGCCAACGAGTTTACACTTCATCCCCAAACAGTCTTTTAATTATATTTACTATTTACTCTCCATCATTACACCACAGACAGGAAAACAGGATTTTGCAAGCTGTAACACTGAATGGAATTGTGTTCAAGCACATCCACATCCAAGCAGATATTAGTTAAATTGAACTATTCCATTGGGACGCGGACACCTGATTAACCAGGTTGCAGATAGCATAACGTGCTACAAAGGAATGATATACGACCCACATGGGTGTTTTCTATAGCGGTTAGCGTAGGCTTGAGGGAGGAAGGGTGGAGGGTGAGTTGGGGGTCATAAAGTGAGAAGAGGTTTAATAAACTGTTATTGCATCCTTGGGGCATGGTACAGAGATCACAGGCATGGGGCATCGTGGCATGTGGCGTCTGGTAGAATTTACTTTTATATACCAATGTGCTTCCTCAAGCATGCATTCAGTAAGCCTGCCAAGTTTTGTCCGGCTGTTCAGCCTCAACACCTTTTTTTCCCCTATTTTTTACTTTCCATTAGTGATTTCTAATGAAACACTATGGCTTTCTATAGCTCTGCATGGGACTGAAAAGTCGCCGACTGCTTAGTGAACCGCAACGAAACCATCTGTGCATTGTGTAGCGTACGGAAGGTGCGAACTGCCGCAGAGCTGTAGGCGATCATTGTGGTGGTATGTCTGCATGTACATGAGCGTGGGCCGGGCGGTAAATAAGAGACTCTGGATGTATTTCCTCTCTTTCACTGCATGATCAAATCAATTTGTCTTCATGCCAACCTGAGCCTGTACATCACAGTAAAGGTTGCAGGAAACAGTCGCTGTTCTTTATATTGGTGCAGTTGTCGAGTGTTCAACATGCTGCTAATGGACTGCAGGAACAGATGAATGTTAAAAACTTACCGCTCCTCAATAAAAGAGAATGCATCTCATCTGTTTGGTGGATTTCACTTCCGGGCGCACTTAAAGCACAGAATGCCAATGGGGTTCATCCACTGTATTCCGTATGCAACGTTTATTTGCCAGTGTGAGTAAATTGATTTAATTTATTTGCAGAGAATTTCATTTGAAAAGTGATGGATTAAGGCAATGAATCATAATAATACCAGATCTTCCAATAAATATAATGAATGAGAATATTATGAATCAATAGGTGTAAATTATTTTTCAATTTATATATTGTCTAGAATATAATTTAGTTTTTTTTATACTTATTAACAGTACCAGTCACACACTTTCTCATTTAATTGTAGTGCTTGTATATACACTTGTTTACACTAAATTCCCTATAAATGATAACAAATATCAGAAGAGACAAGGTAATAAGAGCTCTATTAATCTACACGGACCGGAGTCAGACCCCATCGAATATGGAATATAAAATAAACTCTTTCTCCATCCATGTATCCTTTTTCTTTCACGTCAGATACAAACTTTGTGAGGGACAGATGGGTTGATAGCTGCTTTTAAATGGCTTCCATGCAGCCTCCATGTGTCACCAACAGACAACCACCAGACAAGACCAGAATGCATCCATCAGGGCCTCTGACACAATCGCAGCGTCAGTCAGATAAAGACAGAACGCAAACAGCGAGCTCTCTACATAAACAAAAAAACGGGTTTAAATCTTTGCAGAGACCGAAAAGTCCCATAGCCACATTTTCATTCTCATAAATATCCTCATCGGGATTAAGTTGGCACTGCTCTGCTGTGGTTCTTGCTCCTTGCCCAAGTCATTTCATAGGTAGTGCACACAACAACTTCATCAATAGTGCCTTGTGCGATTATTGAATGCCTATAAAGCCGGAGAGTCTCAGCGGTTTATAGGCTCCTGCCAGGGAAGCCAGCAAAAGGTCATCCCGATAGCCCGCAACTGACTGAATGGAATAAAGTTGCAAATGTCACTTCCGTAAGTAAATACTGTCAATAACAGAGCTTGGCTAACGTGTCTTGAATAATTAGGGGCACGTTGTAGAAGTTGCACTCAAGCACTGCCACTCACAGGATACAAATTAAGACATTTTCTGCCACCGAAAAAAAAAAAAAAAGCATTCCATTTGAGGTCAGAGCTGTCCTTTGTCCTGTAATGTCCCCCCGTTGAGCTTTTCTGGCTAAGTATGAGTTACAAGCCACTGCTTCTGATGGTAATCATGGCCCAGATTATTGTCCATCTGCTGAGCGGCTTAATAAGCATCAGAAACAGTAACTAGATGAGTGTTCTTGATGACGGCACGGTCCAATAGCGCCAACCTCTCACTGCCCTCTGAGTTCTGGTCAGCTACCAACAACGCTGTCGCTGTCTCCATATGGTCGGGCATAAATTAGCGTTCATCCCATCGCTGTTGCACAGAGGACCCAAACTGTGTGGGAGTTTTACACTGAGGAACGCTTGCAGCTGCCAGATTGAGTACATTGCATGTATCTGATATATTTAAAATTCCCCTAACAAGACGTCCGTGGGTATTCTGAGTACATACTGTGTTGTTTAGTCTCACCATCCTCATTAACCCTCATTCCAGCAGCAGGATCTTGTTAGCAGAGGTCTACTCTATTAGAACGGAGAGAATAAAACACCTAACAACACTGGGGAAATAAAAAGCAATACAGGATTTTTGGAAAACATAGCATTAAGCCATGTAAATATATGCATAAACACAATGTGGGCAGTGTGTAAACACGCACTAACCTTGAAAAACATCTCTGTATTGAACTACATTACATTTCAAAACTTATCTTTCATCTTTTTTTATGTAGAAGTACTTTTGTTGTCAGTCGAAGTACCGATTTAATGGAGTTCTCCTTGATACTCTCGGACAGAGTGTCCAATGATACTGCAGGTGGAATAAAGAATGGAGGGAAGGTTTATAATGGAAGCATGCAACCAGTAATCAAGGGACTGATAAAACACGTATGCAACCTGTCTTTGTGTTGATGGCTAGTGTTCCTGTTAAAGAAATCAATTAAAAAGCAAAAGTGTAGCTCGGGGTGCAGATTTCTTTAACTTGGATATGATAATTCGAGATATATCTCATATTTTGGTGGACAAATTCAAGATTAAAATTCAAATGTATTACTATAGGATGCATCCCATCCATTTATCCTTTCACACAAGCGTGCTCTCTATATATCTGTAAAGTTTATACCTGTCTCCAAACAATAGAAGTCTGTCCAAGTCACAGGGGACTGTTGGCTGTTGACACCATTACCCCAAATTCTCTTGCCGCTTCTCCTTGAATAAATGCGCTGCTGACAGAAGGCCAGGTGAGAAGCCCTGTAGCCCCTACACTGGCAAGTATATATATGTGTGTGTGTGTGTAAGAGAGCATTTGTATAGCTGTGCCTGTTCACACACCCTCAGTTTTGACTAACGGTGCAAACACAGAAGTGTGTTGATCAGGGTAACCGTTCACTTTGCCCTTTTTCTAATCATATTTAATAAGATGGTAAATGCACTACGGCCTGATTTGAAAACTCTTTGGGAGTAGTCAGCAATGTTAATTTCCCCTAAACAACTCCAAGTTATAATTAAATATTTGCAAAGGGTAATGTGATGATCACACCTGCTACATCACAGCTGATTTAAATGTCAGTAACACTCCTGCATGTGTCTTTGTTTTCTTCATAATTTACTTGTTCATGTTGCCCTTATTGAGTTTGACCTTTTGACCTCAAGCACATTTTATGTATAATGTTGATGCTTTTTACCTTTATTTTTACATATTCATAATACATTATTCAGTCTGAGGAGCTTTTCATGAGCCCCTTTAGAAAAACAGGAAATGGTATGAGAGCAATGATTATCAGCCATTACTGAATTCATCTGGTTGCTTAGCTTCCATGAAAAAAAAAACTAATTGGTTGTCTAGTGGACACGAGGTGCTGAGATGCAATGTAATTTCTGGGGACTCACAAGGACATGACTGATTCACAAGTAAAACAGTCAATCAACCTGCATGTTATCAAGGACACGTTGGGTCCTATGATCAGTGATGGTGGCCGCTGGTCAATATTGTTCCTGATGGAGTCAATTACAAGTTCTGTTCTCAATTAACTGCCACTCAAATAGTCGGGTGGTAGCTGTAAGACTTCT